GTGAATCAACTTGGGAATATTTTTCATCTTTGTCTGTGTTCCTGTAGGTTTTAATTGCCAACAGGGATCTTAGAAATTCCGCTGGGAAGAATATAAGGTCTATAGCTGTACTCTCCTCTGTAGTTTACTGAGATCATTGCTGACAGATGTACATGCCTGCATTTACTTATCTGTACTATTTAATGAATTTCCTCTAAACAAATGATACCAGAGGTTGGTGGACGCCATTACTTTTGACAGCTGGAGTTGCTTCCGCAAGATCCTTTTTGTGGCACATCTCGAGACGGAACACTACAACACAAGCTCGTCAGAACATCTCTCGTCATTATGATCTGGTTAGAGTAGAGACTCTAACATTTTCAAAGTATACTTGATTCATTTTTGTTCAGACTAACAATGTTATTGTAGCATCTATTTAGCTACCATTATTTGCTAGAGTTTGATCAATAAGCTTCATGTCATTAGTATCAAATGACTCCAATATGTAAAGAAGTCATTGTATTCTGTCCATTATTTATGTAGAAAATGTTTTCATTGTTGGCATTACATGACTATGAAGTTGGACTTGTTTTCGCATTTCTGCAAAATTTGTGGAGCTAGGTCATGATATTATGACTTTCATCTATCTATGACTGACCAATCAAAAAGCAATGGTTTAAAAGATAGAACATCGAATTATGCAATCATAAGGTGATAATTAAAACTTAAAAGTACCTTAATGTGCTGACAACTGTCTTATAGCATACACCAGATTTCATCCGTTAACTGTTGCATACTTATGAAGTTCATAGTTGAAAGACTATGGTTTCCCTTCGAGATTTTTCTATTGACGCCCTTCCACAATAACTGGGATAAGGTTAACATGAGAACTGTCATTTCAATAACGTGGCTGTGTCTGTTTTCATATGTTCCCTCAGTTGATTGCCTATAAGCTTCATATTGTAGTTAGTGCACCATTTGGATGAAACTCTTGCTACCATCGACCTAACTAGAAAAGGTTGGCTTTCATAGGGTAGCACAAGTGTTGATCAAGCAATTTTCATAAATCATTCCAGTATTTTGCAATACTTAACAGATCATATATGATATTTAGATTACAAACTTGGATATTGATATAGGATGTAGCCGAGACATAAGAATATTCAAAAGAAAAGGTACAACTTCGATATGGAAATAGTAATATTACATTATATGATAAAACCTGAATTTTCTTTTTTGTGAATTTGAATGACACAATTTTTTAGAAGAAACAATTTATTAAATCAAAAATGGCAATTTGTGAATGTAATTTTTTGTCTGGAAATTATTATAATTTTCAGTGGTCTATCTTGCAAATTTGGGAATAGGAGACCCATGTAACATAAGGGGTCCTACATAGAGGTCTTGCCCATTAATATGTACTGCTCCATTTTTCATTTTTCATCACCTTTAGCTTCAGAGAACTCATGTTGTTGTGATTGTCATTTGTAAAATGTCTTGTGGTATCAAATGTATATGATGATGATGATGATTGCTGCATAAGATTGCTTATATAATCCATCTGTCATCTTTCTGGTTTGTAACTGAAATTAACTTTTCCATGTATACAGAGTAATGACTTCTTCTCTCTAGTTTTGGATGAGACAATGACATATTCCTCTGCAATTTTCAAGGTCCAGAACTGTCATTGGTAGTTTGTTATTTTAATGCTTTTGCTAACGCATTGTTATTGCAATAGTGGCTTTTTATGAAATCTAATTCTCTTCACAAATGTCATTTTATAGACAGAGCATGAGGATTTGAAAATTGCCCAACTACGCAAAATCTCTCTTTTAATTGAAAAGGTAAGTTTATGGAACCACTATTATTTTCTTTCATTTACTCATTCTTATGAAATTTTCTACCTTGTTTATCGTCGAGGCTCAAATCAATGACAAGCATGAAGTTCTTGAGATTGGTTGTGGTTGGGGAAGTTTAGCAATTGAGGTTGTTAAGCAAACTGGTTGCAGATACACAGGAATTACCTTGTCTGACGAGCAGCTAAAGTATGCTAAAAGAAGTGCAAAAGAAGCTGGACTTGAGGTATTTTGCTTTGAACTTAAGGTTTAAATTATGAAGGAAAATATCATAAAAAATATAACGGTAAGGTTCTCAATTGCAATCAAAATCTTTTTACAGTCTCTCAATTTATGTTCATGCTGAAATTTGAGTGTATTGCGCTAGTTACTTTTGACTTTAATTTGTTTATCCACATAGCTCTATACAAGCTAATAAAATTGGTGGGTGCATATTTATGCATATTATGTTTATAGTTTATTAACGTAAATGTTGTTTAACCACCAAAAATGTCTTGGTTGTCTTAATCTCGACGAGAGCATAATTAACTACTAGATTAAATGGCCAAATGATTGTTTCCATGATATAGCTCAAGTATAGGCATCACAAGCATTTAATTGTATCCTTTGTACAGACATACATGAAACATCTGAGATGTTATCTGTCATCTTATGCGCAAGGTGTATTGCCTGCACAAGTGCATTCATTCAATTGTCCTTGATTCCTTTGAATATTTTCACATGAACAAACTAACCATTGCATACCTTGTCCTTGTTGGTTGGTTTTTAACCACAAAAACACTGTATAGTATTTTTATAAAAAAATATCATTGTGTTTTTAAAACAAAAACATTAGACAGTGTTTTTGAAACAAAAACACTATACAATATTTGTAAAACAAAAATACTATATAATGTTTTTTAAAAATAAACAGTGTTTTTGTGGATAAAAGTCAGCCTACAAAATACTGTAAACAGTTGGTGGGAAATAAGTTTTGGATTGGGCAGACAAATACATGACAACTTTTGAGGTGTGTTTTTGAGATTTTTGAAATAGGAGGTGAGTGTTTGGAAATTATAAAAAGGGGTACCATCCGGGAAATACCCCAAAAGAGGGTATTTTCCCGAGCAATCACTCATCAATATATGATTTGTTTGGAGACAGAATCCGAGTATTAAGTTCGTAAAAGATAAGGGACTTGGAAAAAAAAACAACTATAACAATATACTTCAATATGGAGCACATGTGAAATATTAATTTACAAATTCTTATATACACAAAAATCCTCTATATGTTGACATTTAGAATCTGCAGTTACTAAAAATAGTCTTGTCAACATGATCAGGTGACATGAAATTCAATCTACTTGTTGGATATGCAGATTTGTACTGACATGATTCACAGGGTTTGACACAATCATCTAGAACCACTACTAGTATGTCATTCAGCTTTCACCATCACACTCATATTTCATACAAAATGTTCTCTTTTATGTCATTGTTCTAGTACCTGATTCAAGCTAAGAGCTTTAGCCTATTGACCTTCGTGACCATCGTTGTCGAGAGTTTTGAGAAATATATATTTTCTTTAATTCATTTTGGTCAGTTAAGTGCATATATGCATCCATGATGTGTGCATGGAACAGGGTACGTACAGATGCTTGCATGCGGAAACTCTAAAAACTTTTTGCATCAGACAAGTTAAATGCTTGCTAATATTTTTTATGAGGAAACCATGTCAAAGGCTTTGAAATTAGCAGTAAAACTAGCTGTTCGAAGGGAATACTGTCTGTAACTCTTAATAGTAACACTTGCTGCTGCATTTAACTTGAAAAGTTGCTTTCAGAAAGAACTTGATGGTGAGCATTTCCTAGTTCTTTGTGAAAATCGTATAGACAAATGGTCATGGAGTTTTTTTACTTCAATTTTATTCTTATTGAAGAAATATACTTTCACTCTTTCAGGATCACATTAACTTCATGCTGATTGACTATCGCCAACTACCAAATTATCACAAATATGACCGAATCATATCTTGGTAGTATTCACTGTGTACTTTTTATCTGAGATGTATAGAATTACTTGACTGACACTCTATATAGTGAAATGATTGAAGAAGTAGGTCATGAATACATGGAGCAGTTCTTTGGTTGTTGTGAATCTCTTCTTGCCGAAGATGGCATATTTGTCCTCCAGGTTCATTCGAGTGGCCTTTGAATTTTTAGTTATTCTTGAGTCTTTTATAACTGACAGATTGTGCAGATTTAACTACTGATATGACCACTGTTGTTCTTTGAGCTTCTATGATTTTACAGTGCAACTTTTCTGTAGCTCATGTTGAATAGTGATGATCTACAATGTGTTGGTTTTCTCAGTGTTTCTTCCCATATCTTTCCATGACTACGTTGGTCAAAGGAACAATTACCTTGGCAAAAATTGCATTTGGTCCTACATTTGGTCTTATGAATTAAAATTTCTAGGCAAAATTTGCATGGCAGTGAGGATCCCAAGACAATTAGGTGGCAAATAGGTTGTGTAAAACGCGAAAGGGTAGGAAGCATAATCTAGAAAATTTCTAAAAAACAAACTAGAAACTATAGAAGATGGTAAGTTCAGCACGAGTTGATGAAGACAGCAGTGAGGGAACCAAGACAATTTGGTGACAAATAGATTGCCTAGGTTGTGAAAAAAGCAATAGATTAGGAAGCATGGTTTATGAAATAGCTAAAGGAGCAACTTATATTATATATGAAAGAGGATAAGTTCAACTCAATCGAATTGGATGATGGACACAACATAGAATGATATAGAAAGACAAAAGTTTTATCTGTTAGCTCTACATGATATAGAAAGCAACTTGAGCTCTACATCCATATGAGGCATTTGAGCATTCATCTGTTAGCTAGAAGGGACTAAAGTTTTACATTGTGGCATTTGGCTTTCTGATATTTATCAATGACAATAATTGAGCTATAATCGAAGTAACAATGGTTGTTAAGGTTATGAGAGTTTTTCTTTGCTGCACTTGGGAGTAACTTTATTTTGAAATTTTAGAACGAAGATTCGACTTCTAAAAACTTTCATAAGTATCGGACATTTCATGCAGTAATGTGAAAGAAGCTCATTAGCACCTTGCGCTTTTTTTGGTTCATATTTTTGACGTACATCACAGGAGAAGTGTTCCAGAAATTGAGAGGTTCGATATTCATTTGAGAATTTTAGTTTTAAATTTGGTTTTTCTGATATAGGAAGAACAGGGTTCTTATTTATTTAATATATATTAGGAATTGAATAGAGATGGTAAAACTGACGATGGCAATTTAGATTGTGCATGAAGACCTCCTAATCAATGTGTAAAAAATCTAAAAAGCAACAAGTGTTGGATTTGAAAAGCATGTGAGTTGGATGACCAACTTCAAGAATTACATTAAATGTTACACTGGCACTGGTCTCATGAAAGAAAATACAACATACTGTGTATGACAATATAGTTCATGTGAAAAATGTTTATCTAATTGGAGATTAGCAATGATGGGACTGGCAGATGTGTTTCTTAGCAGGTCTTTATTTGTTTTCTATCTTTGGTGTGTTGACTTTCTTGATTACATATGATTTATCATTTTAGACAGGCATTAGTCATGTTCAACTGCAACTCTTGTGAGAAACTAATAGGATAAAATTTTGATGCTCCATAACTTGGTGTTATATTGAATCTGGTTCATGTGATGCTTTGATGATTTGAGGTTCTGTGCTCCTCTAGCTTGTGAACACAAAATATAATTTATTTATTTTTTATTCTTAAGATAGGTTAAATGATAAAATAGATTAACATAGATGTAATAGTTAACCCGAAATTAGAATCAGAAGAGCTTCTTACAGTATCCATATTCATGAATTGTATTTCTTTAATTATTTTTTTCTCTGCATGGTTAATTTTCGTAGGATAACACATCTGTAGCTGTCTTAGACTATAAAATGTCCCACTTTGGTTACCATGCAGTTCATATCAATCCCAGATGAACGCTATGATGAATACAGGAGAAGCTCTGACTTCATTAAGGAATACATCTTTCCGGGAGGATGTCTTCCTTCTTTGAGTAGAATAACAACAGCTATGGCTACTTCATCTAGATTTTGGTAACAAATTGTTTGAATTAAATGTTATATTACATGCTCGACATTTATAAGTGATTTACATGAGTTACATTTTCCTGGTGTCATTTCCCAATCCTCTTCAGCTCTTATGTTTGTTTCCTTTTCATGTAGCATTGAGCACCTTGAAAATATCGGCATTCATTACTACCAAACACTTCGATGCTGGAGGAATAATTTCTTTGCGAACAAGGAGTAAGTATCTACCTCTTTTTTACATGTATTTATGAGCATACTGCTGACATAGGTTAATCATATTGGAGGTTTCTGGGTAAGCTGTTACTGCCCTGGCCCCTGTATATTGTGGGATGGGGCTTCTTGTCTTTCCGGTACTCCAATGTGCCCAATGTTATGTTTCCTACCAAGCAGGCAAACTATGTCTGCTCCTGGTCTTTTTTATCAGTCTGACCTCTGGATTTTTGACAACTGCCCACTACAAAGTCCTTTTTGACCAAAATTTAGGCTCTCATATATGAACTTTGTACTTGTATCATCTCAGTAGCTTTCACCTGCCGTCCAACAACAAGCCGTTTCGGATATTTGGTGGAATACCAACTTACAAGGCCATCAGCATGGTCAAATGACTGAATCAAACTATTTCCGTAGAAGAGTTAATAGAGGAAGTTTAAATTCATTTTGCAACCATCTGCATGCTTTGTTTACCAAGTAATGATAGTCATGTTGTTTTGGTATTCAATGTTTCTGTTACAGATATTGTTGTCTGACAAAAGTCTTCTTTGGTTTCAGAAAAATTCTTGCCCTGGGATTTGATGAGAAGTTTTTTCGCACATGGGAGTATTATTTCATGTACCGCGCGGCTGGTTTTAAATCATGTACGCTTGGAGATTATCAGGTATGTTAATAAGTTATTATGATAATCAACATGCCCTAATTAACTTTTCTATTATGATCCTATTAAGCAATTATAACACAAATTTTTAGTATAGTATCTTTTGTGCTTGACGAGTTGATGTGAACCGATCTTAACTTGGGATAATGCAGATAGTGTTTTCTCGTCCTGGTAACTTGAGAGCTTTTGGTGAACCATTCAACAGCATTCCCGCTACCTGTCGTTGATTTTATATGTTCGTTTGGTTTGTCGGTTGTGTAAATTATTATGATTACCCAGAAAAGACGCTCTTTCATTTTCCAGAATTTGGTTATATGCAATAATTGATAGGACGATGACAAGGACAAAATTTATCATCTCTCTGACTCACACTCCAAATAGAGAGAAAAAAATATATATGATTGCAGCATCTATTGAACAATCTAGTGTATTATCTCATTCCAGCCATGTTTCAGGTCGTCGAGTTTAAAGCTTGAGATTTTACAAAGATGGGAACAATCTAGTGTATTATGTTATTCATCGCCCAATGTCGTGCTCTCACACGTAGTGACCAGACTTTATTTAGGAAGAGCAGTACGTTGACTATTTCGTAAACTTACCGTCTCCTGTCCTGTGGAAGAAAGGCCTTCAAAAAACTCAATCTTTGGAAAATAGACTATTTTCTGCCAACTTATAATCACCTGCAGTGAGCGGACTCGGACGAGTCTCGAACACTTCGGTTGTGCTTACCGCTCGCATTCGATGGACAAAGTGCCTTCGAGAAACGCTCCCGATTCACAGGTCGGTGTCATATCTTTAGATCCCTCGTATGCATCGCCTTAGGACTCACATCAATAGCTTCTGTATACATGCTCAGGTGATCGCAGAATCCCTCAAAACTGTAGGGGCTGATCGTAAACAGAGGCAAGGTTTGATCTGACTGGCCGAGAACAACGGTGAAAAGCTTGGGTTTCTGGTATGAGAGTATAGAGGCCACTCCATGTTGTGGAAGAAGACATGTATAGCTTTTATCTTTAATCCGAGCTATCTTACATTTACTTTTTCTTTTTCCTTGAATTATATGACCTGATTAATTTCAAAATATCTAATTAGATTTTAATTAAAGTGATCGAGCGAGTCTATAGCTTAATAAATCATAGAAGATGATCTTAATTATTTCTCTTCTATATGGTAACAGGACATCCTAGTAATATAATAATCATTAGAATATCAACATAACTTTCGTGCAAATCTATGGTGTTGTATTTCACAAGTAATTTAACCTTAATATGTGATATTACATTTCGATCTTGATAGTAAAGTGTTTTTCATTATAATTTATTATTAACTTCGACAAGATATAGTCACTGACGATGGATGGCAACACAGTAAAGAACTGTACGTTAAGACAAAAACATGTGAACTCATATCTTTCTTCATGTAGGAAGGGAAATGAGGGCCACTTATTTTTGGCGGAGGGAATGAGAGTTGGCAGAGAGATGATGACGTTCTAATACTCATAGTACATAGGGTTTGGGAGCTTGAAGATTCTTCGGGCGGTGGTGTAACCCCCGAGGCTGCTCCATTGGCTCCCAACAATTCCCCACAGGCGGTAGCCTTCGTGGACCAACTTGCTCCTCTGTTTTGCCTTGTACTCCTCTGCGCAGGTATATTTGTCCTCCTCCGACCTGGAGATCAAATATTTGCAGGTTGATGAGAAGGGAGAATGAATTAGAACAGAAGCGTGCTGATATGTAGTCTGCTAATAGTTGGTCTCGATGCTTGCATTATCATACGCATTCATTCATAAAGATGTACAGACCTGAGGATGAGATCAGTCCAACCATGATAGCCGACGGCGATGAGGTTTTCGACGGTCGCTTCTCTGAGATACTCTGCTCTGGAAGAGAGGATGAAGACCTTCAACCCTTTTCCTCTGATTAGGTAGAAGAGTGTCAGCATGTGCTCGATGGCAGGGGCATTGCCCTCCCTCATCCATGCCTCGAGGCTCCCTCTGTTTGTCTTGGTTCCTCTGCATCCATCCCAACAGAGTCATTCCACAGAACCAACATTCCACTTGTGCAGCAAAATGGTATGTACGGTAGAGAAGAAGATCCAAGTCCTATATATGATGTGTACCCGAAGTCGTGCATCTTGAAGTAGGGCACGGTGGAGAGGAGGACGTCGTCGAGGTCGAAGATCCATGCATCCTTGCCGTCGCCGGAGGGCTGAAAGCTGTCGGTGAGGAACAAGAGGGACTCCTCGGCGGCGAGCTGGACGTCCACCTCGTACTGCGTCGACGTCATGTAGGCGCCGATGTAGCCGACGCACTCCCCTGGCACCACCTCGAACCCCCGGATGTTGTTCAGCTCCGCGTTCATCCGCCAGCTCTCGCAGTAGTTCCTCAGGCTGAACTCCACGTTGCCGTTCCTGTCATCCTCTCTCTTGCTAGTGATGTAGCTGAGGATGTTCCAGTCCCCAGCCACAAGCCCCGTGCACAGCCACAGACACAGTAGGATGACCTCCCCTCTCATCTTCTTCCTCGGCATATGAATCGCTGCTTGTTCTTCCATATATTTATATGCGCGGATTCAACCTCTGAACCAGTGAAAAGAGAAGAAATGACCTCATGGCTTGGCGGTGGTGGTTGACGAAGGAGATGTTATGGTGATGAATGAGTTTGAGCTGGCAAGAACATCTGTCCTCCGCTGTGCCGTACCTACTACTCAGCACCTTCTCCTTCGTTTTATATGGATGTATGCATGTGGCTCTTTGAGTACTAATGTGAGGTCTTCCAAGATTATTGTATATATATTCAGGAATGAATCAAAGCAGTAGCTTAAAAATAAGAAAAAAAGGAAGAAATTTGTGACACTCTGAATCATAAAAGACTTTGAATGTTACAACAAAAATGGCCTCGCTGAACACGCTTCGATTGTTAGGCAATAGACGTGGCCATGACAAATGAATCATATTCCAGAAGTCAACAGAAGATGAAATGAACTGCAAACTTAGTGGGACAGCACATTTCGAACTATGCCATTGTTTACTGGTCTATTACAACTTTATTAGCTAATATTCTGTGGGGACATATCTCCAACTTTATTAGCTCACATTCTACGTGTTAGTGTAAACAACTTTAAGTCATGGCCTCGGGACCGACGCGACTTGGTTCGGGTCTGGATGATGAGGATCTCCCTAGGATGCTCCTCCTGACTGTTGAGGTGGCCAATCACGGTGTTCTGATTGGGACGGGATCGCTATTCCCTCCGGGCAAGAACTCCTCGCCTGTGCGTTCAGTGGAGACCTTCGGCTTCGCACCTGCACAAAGGTCGGGTCGGGGAGCTCGGCCCGACCCCTCCAACGATCAAGTCGGGTGATCGTGGGGGTTTCCTTTTTTTTAGTCAAGTTGTGTCTGCTACTCTTATGTCTCTCTCTTTCTCTTTTTCTCCCTTTCTCTCTTTCCCCCTCAGTGCGTGAGGGTTTTTATAGTGAGAATTATCGTTGCATGATGTGTCTGCCTGTAGGGAGCAGGATCGTACTTCTGGTAACGTCTGACATTGCCGTTGGCGTGGCGTGGGGGATCGAGCCTGAGCAGGGTGTTAATGTGCCTTGGTAAGTGTTCTGGTCCGTTTTGACCGGGTGCCTCATCAGGTCAACAGTGGCGTGAGACGTCATCTGGGACAGCTGATGTCACGCGAATCTTATCGCAATTATTACCGAACCTCCTTTGGATAAGGTTTTCTAACACGTGATATTAGTGCTATAGGAATTTGAAGAAAATTGTGGCTGACACTAATTATTTTGCTAGAAATTGTATTCTGTTATCATGTGAACTAAACCTCCTTTGGCTTCCTTAACATTAACACTAATGGCTTACTCTTTGCAGGAGGGTGGGAGTCTTAGATTCGTTATACGTAAGAGAAAAAGAGGGATACTGAGCATTTTGCTTGGCAGCAGCCTACTTTGCATTTGTCGGCTCTTCAACGCGAAGCATTTGATGTGAAGCAATGGCTGCGAAGGGCCAAGAAAGGGCTTCTCCATGCTTGGAGAGATGGTCGCTTTGAGACTAATTCAAAGATTATCCAAAACTACATACTGAGGGCAATCATATAATGGCATCTATCATTATATTTAAAGATTTCAATTGTATGTTTACACTGTTTTCATGAGTGTAACAGCATATGCACATTTGGTCGCACCACAGCTCAACACTTTCCTTCTGAACTGCTGTCTATTTTGTACGATGACCAGTATATAAGTCATATTGTATACTTTCTGTTTCTTAATTCAAATTTTGTTTTTGTTTTTGTGTTTTTGGGAAAAAAAATGGTCTATTACAAATTTGTTGTTATCTACGTTGTTATCTACAGCTATAATATCATCTTCCACATCTATAGTACATTATCAACCAAAATGAACTGAGAGACCAGAAGAATCTTTGTTGGAGCAGAAGATGGGACAGATGTGCATACAACTCATACCTCATTACTTCTCGTCTTATCCTAATCCCACGCATCGGATAGGAATGCCAACGTAATATAATGAGACTAATTATATATTAATTTTATATTTAAATCCTATTAATATCATGATTTTTATATTTAAAAATTTTATATTAAAATATTTATAATTTAAAAAATAAAATAAATAATCTCATTTATCGTAACGATGTCAGCTGCGTTTGACGAAAAACATAATACGTGACATAACATGTTAGATCAATACGAAATGATAAACAAAAAAATAATTTTAATATCCGTTCTACTTTTTATTTATTATTGATAAAATTATTTAAAATAATTGAGATATTAAAATTATTTATTTTCCTTCTTTTTATCCGTCAATGTAGTTGACGGGATCAGAATATATGAGATTATTTATTTTATTTTTAAAATTATAGATTCTCAATGTAAATCACATGAGTAATTAATCCTAATATAATGAGATTGAATACAGATCGTCGATTCAATCCTTTAAAGTCGATTTCCATTGTCAAAACAATACTCTTCGAGTTCCAAAGACCTGAATAAATAGTCGTGCTAATAATCTGTATCGTCACGGGTTAACCTTTTAATCTTACTGGACATTTTATGAGGCAATACTGGTGATGGGGACAGCATCTCGTTTCTCAGGTACAGAGAAGGCAGTAGACAATCGACGCCGATCACGTTAATAGGAAGAATGTGGTATGCTAACGTGTATATAGATTTCTAATTTAGATAGGAAACGAGAGGAACTCTACGACTCGAGATAATTATTTACTTGTCCTCGAGGAAGATTTAGCCTTTCCAAGTCGATACACATACATGGAAATTACCCCTCTTTTACGATCCAACTTCTAATAAGCAAAATTGCGCCTCCAGAGAACTGACGGCCGTCAGGAATTGAATGAAGTGGTGAGAGCACGGTACGATCCAACTTCTAATATGCAAAATTGCGCCTCCAGAGGACTGACGGTCGTCAGGAATTGAATGAAGTGGTGAGAGCACGGCACAAACTGCTCATGGAGAAAACCATCGTCAAAGTTCTGGGAGTAGCTCTTTAGATCATAAGCAAAACTCGCTGAGCTCTGCCTCAGTGGTGCCGCCATGCCTCGCAACCGTGACCGCAGCTTCCACAAGGCCTGCCTCATCGACTTCCAACACTCCATGGATGCTCTCAGTTGAACCTTAGCAAGGGTGACCTGCGTGTCTCCTCTGCCAAGTCTCTTTGCCTGTGTCACCATATTGGCCTTCACAGTTATCGCTTCACCTCACTCATCTAATAATAAGGCATGCTCGAGTGCTTATTTAAAGCCAGTTTAAAGTGTCGAAAGGACACTCAAAAGCACGCCCAACCATGATGATGCCGTCATTCTTTCCATTCGTTGCAATTACATGGACCCAGCGTTGGTCCCATCGCCTTTATTCGTGCTGACCGTCGAGCCAAAGTAGCAGGAATGATAGAATTGAATGCCGTCCCTATCATTAGATGAGGCATCTTCTTGCAAATGGAGTTGGCACTCAAAAGCATCCATCAATCGAGAATGAAGAAGCTTGGCAGATCTTTACGCCTCGAAAGCATCTGTGTGGACCCTAAAGTTGCTTTCGGCGGCCATCAAAAGTCCCCTGTGAGCTGATGTTGCCATCATCCGGCCGTTCAAGCCCTCGAATTTTTTTTTCTGAGGAATCTGTGGCATTTGTAGAGGACGAAGAGGCATTGGCATCACAGATTTGAGTAAGATTTCAGCAAAAGATCACGTGCCCACAAAAGCTAAGGTTGGAATGATCGTTATCTGAGTGAGACTGTACACTAAGTCAGAACTCCTTTTTTGGCGATTGGAGAAGACTAGGGACACAGCAAGAACCAAGAATATGACCGCAGAACCGAAGGATACCATTTGCCAAGTTGGACAAGGTTGAGGGTCACCGCCTCATCCAACTCAAGATGCGTAGCCAGAGTTGTTAAACGACAAAACATGGTTAGGGTTAAGATAAGCTCTAACTAAGCATCTTGTAAACAAAACTTCCTGCTAGCATAGAGAAAATATTAACGACCAGCATTTACACCTATCAATCTTGAAAACAGTCATAGGCAGATCAAATTGAGAAACCTCATCCCACCGAATGGAGATTACCATTTGATGCTGATGCCAACAAAATGTTTTTAAGTTCCAAGTCTTCTGACAGTCAGGTAAAGATTCCTGTCAAAACCCAGTCCACATTCAGCAGAATCCATTAAAGTTGTTCCTATACCATCCTGTACACCACGAGCAGGACGCCATATCAACCAGATTACTTGTTAATTACAATAAAAACAAGCCTTCTACTGGAGACCTACTCAAAACCCTTTTCAAAATTTCTGTAGGTTCATTGAACCAATGCCCTTGATCTTCTCCCTGAAAATAAATCGAGTTTTATCACAAGGATGACAATATATGATAAAACTAAAAAAAGCATCTATTTGTCCATAATAAACAAACCATCACTTACTAAATTTTGCTAATTTGTATCCCATATGTAATAACCATATTTTGCTTCGTTGCGTTTCTAAATTAAACACTAGCGACTGTCATTTAGGAATATAAACAGTTAGGATCACTATTACCTCTCTGTTGTTTTTGTTTGAACGTTGCTAAATGATTCCATGTTATCAAAGAGGAATGGACTAAAAAAGCTCCTTCTGATTTTCACCCTCGATCAGATTAGAAGTGGAGAGCACTTGTTCGACTCACTGGCAGTTAGACATCATCACCTTTTAACTGGGTAAGTTATGCGAGTTTACCTATGACGACATGCGGTACCTATTTGCATTAATTGCAGCCAAACCAACCAGAAATGAGAGAATGCGACATAATATTGAAGGGAAGATGGGAGATTAACAAGAAGTGACAGAAGTTGATGGAACCTGTCTATCTGTAGCTGATACCAAATAGTTAAGCTATGTCTGGTTGGAACATAGCTACACAGTTAAACATGTATAAGGCGATAAACAAGTATCTAGTTATATAGGATATACATACTTCAGGCCAAGGAAAGTAGTTTGCCCAAGGTTTTTACTAAAGTTTTTTAGTGGGCAGGTTCAAACAATCCCATACAGTCCTTAAAAAAGAGTGCTATTTACCATCTGCCAAATAATATGAAGCTCTTTAGTTTCACTTCACAAAAAATAAAGAAAAAACTATGAAAATATTAGGTATCGTATTGCTTTTGGAGATGAAAACATACTGCGGCGCTTAATATCTCTGCAAAATCTGCTTCCACATCTACATTTAAATGCCTTAATTGGGTGCTCATGATCATCAAAATCTATACCATAATCCTGCAAGTGAATAACAAGTTATTAGAGAATCTAAAAAAATGATTTATGCGAAAGTAACACAGCTAGAAAGAGTTCTCCATAAGTATGCTTATGGAAAAACTCGGATAGTTGTCGACATCCCTCAAAAGTTTAGGTCCAGCGAAAGCCAGGGTAGGCCTGGGACTAGCAATGATTATATTCATCGACCTACAAAATCACACACACACACACCCACGAAGGGGAGGGGTATGACAAAGCTCAATACCAGTTAAGGGTCTAAGTGCTAATCATGTAACTTGGTGCAGAACATACATGGCCTATTGGTTGTTAACGAGTAAAGCACAAAAGCATTTCATGGAAGCGGTTCTTACATTCGCTACACCTACTGATTACTAATAATTGTTTTTATTGGACTTCCATCTTTTGTGCTTCTAAATGTTTAAGAGCAAGCTAAAGGTTAAAAGATTGTTGTAGCATGCAGCTTCTGACCAGATTGGAATGGCAACTCCAAAAGCCCAACCATTACAGTTTGTTTATGCACTAGCACAAACAACTCGCAGAAGAAAAATCTATCCAATACTATTTCTGTAGCGGTAATAAACTATAACTGTGGCAGTCCGACAAGTTAGTGAAACTGGTAAAGGATTGGTATTTAAAGCCTTGATCTAAAGAAGTGCTAATAACAATGCCCACAAGGCAAAATGGAAAAACTGCCTTTTTCAATTTAAATGCTTCTATCACTTGAAAATGCTTACCCATGTCAATTCCTCAAAAGCTTCCAATTTTCTGGTTGTAAAAAAAGCAAGCTGCAGATAAAATGAAATAGGAAGATATGAGCCCAATAAGTACAAGAATTTGTAGTGTGTTTGAAGATAAAAGCCATAACTTTGATTAACAGATTCACTGCATACATGGTAGTAATGATGGTCTGGTGTCTCCACTTCAACTGGAATTTCAATCAGATTGGCATCAAAGCATCTACAATCAAAAGTCATTTACAAAATCAAGTGATGTATAATGGGATTGCAAGAGAAGCAATAACATTAGAAAAGCAAAAGTCAAACATACTCTATCAATGGCTACTATTGAAATAAAACAAAAGAAACCAAAATAAAACTCTGACAACTAAACTTTCTTTTTCATGTCAATGAACATTAGAGAAGGATGTGGTACAGACTGTACCAGAAGTTAATGTAAAGATAGTCCCAGAGAATATTGTTCTTACTTGTCGACACTGGCAAGCAGATCAGTCAATAAGCTTACCATGCCTAAAATAATTGGTGTGTTAATGTAAAGACAGTCCCAGAGATGGCTAAAAGAGGGGGAACATTACCTAGCCTGCAATGATTGTCCTAGATTACAAAGGTAGGTAAACCGAGTCAGCTCTTGCCAAGAGTGAAAAAAAAAAAAAAATTAATGATGCTAAAGGCAACATGTTTGAATTTCACTTTTTATGTGTTGAAATAGTACCCAGATTCACCAAGTAAAGAAGAAATAGAAGTCCAGTCACGAGAATATCATGGAATTGGGAAATATGGTGTTGCAATAAAATAACAAAAAATGGCAGTCAAGTTCAAAAGGGTCTAGCAACTGTAAGTCCGAAAGACCACCAAATGCACAGAGCTTATCAGCACCTGAGAGGTTATTCCAATTACTTAAAACCCATAATGTCAAAATAGAGCACCCTAATACTAATAGATGATGCAAAACCTGCTTTCGAACCAAACAAAAAAAAAAGAAACATATACAAAGGAAGAAGCCTTCTAAATGCTCAATAGAATCAGCCTCAAAACAAGAAGTTCCAAGATCTAAGCAAATTAGTCCTGATTAAATTTTGAGATATGCATACTAAAAGGATGCTTTAGAAAGGAAAGAGACTGGCAGCTACAGGTTGACAAGGACCATGAGTCCTTTAAGAGAGCACACTAAAACATGATAAGTTGCATCAGGGACTAGGTGAGCCTATAAATTGCTTTATCAACATGAACAACCTTATAATGTCACAGCAGAATGGACTTGGATGCCATCAACGAAAGGATTTGACCCTTGTCTTGCTTCTAAAAAATTTATTTTTTAATTTCATAAACATCCAATTATTCTAATCTAAGTACTTTGAACCATATCCTCTCCACTTAGCTGAGGAACGCTGCAACTAGAATTAAAGCACTTAAGTGCAGTCACAAAAGAAAATGAAAACCCCATCTAGAGTACATTTTTATAAGCAATACATCCAAGTTAACTATTTCAATATAGATAAAAGCTTAAGGGCCAATATTCTGACAGGACACAAGCATTTCTCATTCACATTGAGAGACTATAATAGTTATGATATATAGAGAAGGCAATTGATTATTAAGTTGGCTGCACACCAAGAGGCTTGCATGCGAGGCGTGTGAGTTCATTTCACAGACGAACTGAACGAAACGTTAAACGCTACAGGAAATTTTGCATTTTATGATGATCAAACCTCAAATTGAAAGTCAAAGTATGAAAATAAATTGGATTTCAAGTCTTCTTAGAAATTAATTCAAGTTACTTCAGAGCTCAAACTGAAGTTCAGATCATCAGAGTTCAGTTAGCGAGTTCACAGTTGCAAGTGGAACAAACAGAAATGATTTACAGATTTAGATTAATTTGGATGTATATGGATACAAATAGAACCAATGGAAACTCATAACTTTTCAAATGACGAACAATATTTTTTTTTATGGTCTCATCAGGTTGTGATGTCCCACTTCTAGAAAAATGTTCGACATTGGCCATAATCACCAAGTAGGATAATTCTGGGACGCCAGTTAGGAAGGGATCTGAATGTGAAGCAATTGCAGTAAAGGAGGGCATTCAGGTTGCAGTGATGCAAGGAATTACCAGGCTGATGGTTGAAAGAGATGCAGCAAATGTGATAGATGTCTTAAACAACCATTAATCCCCCTGTGGCAGCAAATGAATGTCTCCAGAGATATCTTTGAATTGATCAAATTGTGTAACAGGGTTACCTTTGCCTATGTATACCATAAGTCAAATGAAACCACCAACCAGGTGGCAAGATTTGCTAGAAACATTATATCCACTTTTTAGTGGCAGAATGAGATGCCTATCCTTTTTGTAATTTGGTATCCTCTAACAAAAAGGGTACATTGTCTATTAGATCTTTGAATTAACAAAATTAATTTTTTTTGGGGGGGAAAAATTTATGGGACCCCAGTAAAAAATAACTAGAGCACTATAAGACTGATGCATCTCCAAGACCATCAACATGAGAAGCAACACGATACCTTTTTTATCAAATTTCCTCTTAAGTAATGCCTAAAGTGTCAGAAGCTTAGAACCATCTGATTGAGAACATGAATTCTTATTAGGAGCGTACCTATGGTTGATAAATCTTGCCACATTGCCATAAAATGTTGCATCCAAACAAAGGGCTTCTTCATCCTTCAGTGCACCTTCTGAGCCCCAATCAGCATCTAGTAACACGGGATAAGTATGCTCTGCATTGCCTGTGGTTTGCATTGTCCTATCATATAGCTCCATGTTTGTCAATACTTCCCCAACATACTCACATACAAAAGCACCTCTAGGCAATTCATCAAGTGTCCTCAAGCCCCACCCCTTTCCTTCAGATGTGAGAAACACCTAAAGCACACACAATCCAATGTAATGTTAGAAAAATAAGTTCATTTGAATAGAAGAAATGAATACGATAAGCAGCACTTAAGAGTGAAATGGCAAAAAAGCCTCACTGTAAGACAAACACAGAATCTTGATTAAAAGGAGGGGCAAGATTATGATTATGATCATTCTCAAGAATGTGAGAAACACCTAAAGCACACACAATCCAATGTAATGTTAGAAAAATAAGTTCATTCGAATAGAAGAAATGAATATGATAAGCAGCACTTAAGAGTGAAATGGCAAAAAAGCCTCACTGTAAGACAAACACAGAATCTCGATTAAAAGGAGGGGCAAGATTTTGATTATGATCAATTCTCAAGAAACAATAAACTTACTTGCAAATTGCGTGTGATGCCTCTTTGAACCACACGGTTTCCACAATGCATACTGCAGCCACATTTGCTCCAGCATTCTTTGACAAACTTCCGCACTAGGTGTCCCTTGCATGCCTCAGGCAAAACATCATTCTTTGATCTTTCTAGGGGGCAATCTTTACAATAGAACAGATGGTGTTTTTGCGGTTCACGATACATAGAAATGCATTCATCCAGAAATTCCTTTTTCATAAGGCCATCTGATGTATAGGCAAATTCACCTCCTGTTTCACGTGCACAGGTGCAAGGTATTGGTGCAGCCAAGCAATCACTGAAACAATCTGCGCAGCAGTCCTCATCCCCAATTCGAGCGAGAGAAAAACTAACATATGCATTCTGGTAAACAATGTTACGTGGTATGTAGTTAAAAGATGGCGGGTACTCTTCTCTAGAGATTTCGTTTACCACTGATATTCTAACTCTTTCTTCACCTTTACATATGTCATTGACATCATGAAGCAGTCTTGATCTGCCTAGTGCATGTTGTGGCTGAACCACCACCAAGCTACATGATGTTAGGCTTCTGGATTTGGGAATTTCAGGTTCCTTCATCTTCTGGATCATCCCACTTTGATTAATAAGTGTATCTTTCTGAATAGGAGAAGGATCAGAGCTAAGTGTCACGTCCATATTATCCAATGCTGTTGGAAAAAATGAATTATTCAAGCATGCAGACATGGCGTCATAAGCACAAGGCATGATGGGTTTCTTGAGTGCATCTATTGTTGGAATTATCTGCATGACATTTTCCTGCTTATCATCAGTTGCTTCAGAACCTAGCTCTAGAAAACACTCGCACATTTCTTTCATAAGGTTCACAAAAGAGAAGCTCGGTTGAAGAATCCTGTAGGATTTCAAACATCTATCTTCTACTCGTTTAAAGACAGTCTCCAAATTAGGTACATGGAAATCCGGTCGATCAGAGCTACAACTAAATGTAAGTTTTACCTCCCCCAAGTCTGAAGAAGCTACATCAACATTAAAAGAAGATGACTCCTGAACAGATAAAAGCTCAGATGTGGTTCCCGTAGTGAATGCATTAACTGGGAGACTTTCCTTAGCATTATTTCTTTGCCCTTTCTGTGTCATGCTTCCATCAACATTTTGCTGCAAAGTTGAATGACCTTTCGAAGAGATATGACAACTCTGCTGACCTTGAGGAAATAAAAGGGCCAAAATAGACCAATTATGAATATTTCTCACGAGATTTAACTAATATGTCCCAACACAATGCTTAATATATTCTCAGGACAAGTATTGCTTGATACAAAAGCTTCATGTATTCAATTAAAAGTTAATTTTTAATAGTATAGTTAGATATGACGGTTATTAGTTGTTATATCAAAAAATACATGTCATATGGAGACTCTCTATAAGTCATTTAATTTATGTTCAAGAAAAATCAACCTTTTCAATATGGTCGATACAATAAAGAGAAATTACATGAATTTTGTATGGAATAAGAAACAAATTGGACGAGTATAATTGCTAGCAAGAAACTTTCATGCATAAAGTGGCCAATCTTAACACATGGTTGCTGATAATAATAGATGATGCCAAAAGAGATACACTAATATACCAGCAAAATATGCCAATTTCAACAAATGATAAAGAGAACAAAGATTACACATATACCTATGTTTCCTGAAGAATGTGGCTGCGAAGGGTGTATCATCGCAATAGGAGTTTCAGATACTGGTGAGTCATATTCACACGGCTCATCCTTAGGACTGACTGGATCAGAAGAACAGTTACCTGTGTGATGCTTTTGTAGAAACTCAGTGCCTGGTTCAACTTTTGGCTCTTTTAAAATGATGGAATTATCCCTTTTATCCTGCAGAGATTGTTTGTCATTTTTTTATATATGACAAGTGTACTTATCAGAACTTGTACGAGACCAGCTTCGTTTACCTGGTTCGGTGTTTTTATTTGTCTATGATTCAAATGAGATGATGTCTGTCCAGCTCTATCAGATATATTGCAAGTTTGAGGTGGCACAACCTCAGCTGTAGTCTGCCTAGTCAATGGCCGCTGTAACAAGTCCTGATTTGCTGCTTTCCCAAAGGAAGGTTGAGGCAACGAGGGTTCATCGTTCATGATTCCTTGACTCCTCAAGGATGAAACTGGTCCATCTCCTTTATGTTCACGTGATACACCTGCTTCTAGTCTTGGCCTTTTCTGTGAAGTTTCACCAGCCAAATTAGGGTTAGCATTTGATGGTGGAGGGGGATGGTCATCTTGCCTAGCCCTGACTCTCATTCGACAAGGCTCAGGATCATCGCTTGCAATAACATCCTTCCCTTTACCACCCATATCCTGAAACAATCAGTTATTCAACATCTTAGGAACAAATCAGTAAGAAGAACTACAAGAATTAAATTATGATAGGATTTCCATAAATCATCCACCATTTTCTTTTTCCAGCCGTCCTCCTAAAGCAATAGGATAATTCAAAAAACCGGTTCATATTTAAAGAACAACTGATGACTTGTGATTACCAGTACAATACGCCAAACATAGTACCTTCTCCTGCGATTCTTGAATGTCAAGTATAGCATCGGCGAGGACCCGATAGTTCTCCGCTTCGATGTACTCCCAATTATTTTCGTAAACTTTAAGAAGGTTCTTCAGCACGGGTTTGGCCATTTGCATCGGTATTCCGATGGCCTTCATCGCATTCAGTGCCGCTATAGCTTTTTGCCGCGCCATTCCCGAATCGATATCACCAACACCTTCTCCAAACTCCAACAGAAACCAAATACGACCAGAAAAGTTCAAATGCTGGTTCAAGAAAGCGGCGGAACCCCAGCATTAAGCGGCGAGTACGCGGAAATGCAAGCCATGAACGGAGAGTACAACGAGATGATCGAAAGGGACCTGGGTTACCGAGCGAATCTTGCGGGAGAAACCCTAGGGCGAGAAGGGAACCCTTCGACCAACCTCGATCGAGATGGTGGGAGCCGCAGCACCGCGATCGGTTGATCGGAGCGTTAGTGTTGGTGCAACGCGAGCGTGGTCGTCGTTTGCACTTCCCCCGAGCACCCCCCGCTTAATGCGGAACCCCAGCATTAAGCGGCGAGTAGGAGGAAATGCAAGTCATGAACGGAGAGTACAACGAGACGATCGAGAGGGACCCGGGTTACCGAGCGAATCTTGCGGGAGAAACCCTAGGGCGAGAAGGGAACGCTTCGACCAACCTCGATCGAGATGGTCGGAGCCGGAGCACCGCGATCGGTTGATCGGAGCGTTAGGGTTGGTGGAACGCGAGCGGGGTCGCCATTTGCACTGCCCCCCCCAGCAGCTCTCCGCCTCCGGCTCTGTCCTCGGGAGGAGGGTCACTCAATGGGCGTGATGCGGTCGACTGCGGATCCGGTCGGCTTTGTGATCGTGTTGTTGGATGGTAATCGCCGAAAATAACAAGTTTGCTGACGCTTCGTTTCCGCTTCGTTCCCGTTTAAAAGCACTGTGCGTTACTGGATATACAACCTGCGTTGTATTTGGATGTTATTTCATGAGTTTGATGACCAAAAACAAGACGGTCAAACCTTTGACCAATGTTAAGTCAATCGAATATGATAATTAGTTGGGGGTAAATTTCGGATAACGATAAATGGCAATATGCCAATAATAATGGCCGCTTCGGTTTTTTCTCTTTTTTTTTCCTTCCTTCGCAATGAATGGTTGCACGAATCTAAAAGAAAGTACATTATCTTACCAGTGGGAACTCGATAAGCAACGAATACCGGCAGTCCAACAGACAAATAAAGTTTTCTATTGTTTTGGCATACAGCTAAAAGAAGTGATCACCTGCAGAAGTGTGTCATTAGTTGTTTATATGAATGATGATGTCCAACGCATGCAAAGCTTTAGCATCTCTCATTTTGGGTGGGTAATTATAATCAATGTTCTCGGAGAAGAAGGATCTCAGACTTCCCAGTGAAGAAATAAAATAAAATTACTATTTTTATAAATATTTTATGTATGTATAGGTGATATGAGAAAATACTAGTAAGTATTTTTGGATTTCCTCTACTAGTTATGGAGAGAATGAGAGAAAAAAGAAAGAGAGGTTTCTTGTGTGAGATGGTGTACATAGGACTTGTGTTGGAGTTTGGTCGATTAAGAGTAATTATAAATTGATCTCATATAATAACAAATTTAATTCTTCTATAGACCCAAATGAAAAAAATCAAACCACATAAGTCTTATATCAGAGTTATCCAGATTCCTATTTAGGTCTTTCCCACTTGGTAGTGTTCAGTTCATATCTAACCCAACAAAGTTAATTTGCATTCAGGACAGCTAGAAACAAGCATTGCTTAAGGAATCCCATATATTATATCTGGTGATTAGGAATATTGCTTTTACATGAACATGAAGGCAATTGACAACTCATAACAGGTACTTTCTTGAAGGGAAAAATGATTTCAAGATTAAAAGAAAAGAAAACACACTCAACAGGCCACTTGGCCTGTCATACATCTATTCCATAACAATATACACAACTTCATGTATCTTCCCATGATAACTTCATTCAGTAACACGATGTAAAAATACGATTAACTGCTGGATGGATCTCTTCTGCCAAACAAAACCAAGACCGGATCCTCCTTTGTCTTGTGACTGCAAAAATAACTGTAACCTAGTTTGTAGTCACCATGTAGATCATCACTTAATATGGTTCATCATCCTCTTTTCACGAACATTACTTGCCTCTGTGCCGCCACTTCTGAGGGAAGCTTCCTCTCATTCGTATGGTTGTTGTCACCAGATTCCTTGGAGATCCCTTTTCTGCGAAGTGGAGTTCCAACTCCAGCATTCTTGTGGCTACCCTCTTTACCTTGAGCTTGTAGACTCTGGTTTATGCTCTTGATTTTTGGGAGCGTTTGCCGCTTTATTGCTAGGTTCTGCTTTCCTATGAGATCATCATTATCTGAAAGCAAATATATGATAGAGAATTGAAAAAAGTAGACAACATATAAGAGCAATCTTGACGGCATTCAACTTCAAATTAAAAGCACATTAGATGGTGACATTAATCATATGGAGTCAGGTTCCCTTTTTCCTCATCTTTGTGCTTTACTCTATTTGATGATTTTATTAGTTGTGCATATTGGTCTGCTAGAAATGCAGCAAGCTCTGCTTCTAATATGTTGCAGAAACATTGCTGAGTATTTTTCTAAAATATTTTCTCGATGGTGCAAATTGAAGTATCTTCAAAATGTTATGATGGTTACAATCACTAATACCAGAGAATTAAATTACTCCCCTTGCCAAAACACAATGATGCAACGTAAACAATGTTAAATAAATGATAGCAAAGTGATAAAAAGAAACATGCAGACAAACAATGCTTGATATCTTAGAGCACATTTCCCCACACATTCTGAATTATAATCTTATTATTGAGTAAAAATGTACCAGGACTCGATAGGACAGCACGAGGTCGTGGAACTGAACTAGCTCTCTTTTTGGTCTTATTGTCCTCATTGATAATTTTGGCATCCTTCCCTGCAGATCAAACTTAGGTGTTAGATTTTTTTTTTCAATTATATTTAAACTAATGCAAAATTGTAGCATCCAAATAAATATACAGAATACTGAACCTTTGGATGCGGAAATAGAAGAAGCTGGAAAACCCTTGAGTGGAGACTTGTGAAATTTTGCATGCCACAAAAGAGGATCTTTTCCAGACTCCGTATCTAAAAGAGAACACAGTTAATCAGGGAAGCTAAAAGGCATCAAAAAAATGTATAATTACAGATAATAGCAGTAGCAAGTACTGAATGTTAACAAAAAAAAAATCTTAGTTATATAATTACAAGTCATGTATTTCCAAACGAATTCCTCATGGGACAAACCTAGGATAATGCAACAGAGGAATATAATCTACAGTTGTTATTTCTAGCAAAAAAATCGATAAGGAATAACTAACCTACCACTTGGTGTCTCCATGAAAACATAGCTGCATGGAAGTACTAGATCACATGGAGTTTAGGCAATAAACACACGGCCATTGAGAAGACAAATGATTGAATTCTATTAGAGTTTGCAGGAGGCAAAATTAATTCTTGGTTGTGATTTTCAAAATTGAATGAGTGAGAGATCGCAGCATTTTAGTGGAGATTCTCTCACCTTTTATAGTGTGAAACAAATACCCAGCCAAGGTCCAGTTGATAGACTATGCAGTAAGCCTCTGGGAATTGTCTTACTGAGGGAAAATTTACAGTTTGTGTTACAAGAGATCAGAATCTGAATTTCTGACCTACTTTGTTTCCAGTGTCAATAAAATTTAAGTCCCGATAAAAGGGGTCAATGTACGAGAAATTGCTAATATTACTCAAACATCAATTTTCTTGAAAGTAATTATGTCGGGTGCTTTTGAGGACCAGGGCACTTGACAATAATGCCATTTTCCAATAACAATGTCAATGTTGCAATTATTGACCGAACTCTATATCTTCAAACTTCAGAGAAGATACTAAAATGTTATTCACCTTGTATAATGAAACATAGGATATTAAATGAATATAAAATTCTCTTCCATAATTTAGCAAGTCATTGGCCTCTGAAATCATTAGCACAAGTCACCATGTATTGTAGCTCCCATCAAAAAAAGAGCTATAAAAGTTTCGAATACCCAACCAATTGTGACCTTTGTAAACACAAAAGATAATAATAATAATTTTAAAAAGAATTAAGCAAAGCATGAATGCCGAACCCAAATAGAGCCACGAAATGACATGGTAAAAGGTCAGCAGTTTCTGTCAGGTGCAACGTTCAGATCCTTTTTGCAAAAGTTTTAATGCCGAGACATCATAACATGCACCGAGGATAAGCTCAGGCTAAAGAAGAACAACTAAAGACATCATAGAAATACAGAGAAAAAGGTGGACAAGAAAGAACAACAGACAAATCTATAAAGTTTTAATCGAAAAAAGGGTTTATCGTCAGCTTCACTTCTCATTTTATGGACTCCAATAACCTTCCTAAAAGCTGAGGACTTTCCCACCTTTTCTTTCTGAAAGGAAAACAATGAGTTGCACAATCCATTATCTTCCTAGTAAATTGAAAACTAGGACTTCCAAATAGCATCAGTTGAAATTCTTTGAAGTTCTATGGAGACACCAGTAGTTCTAGAGCATGTCTAACAAGTATTTTTGGGACCATAGCACATATAACAACTACAAGTCCTTTTAGAACTATAACCTGCTGGGACCTGAAATAGACAATTTTTCCCTAAACTATGATTTGTGGTAAACTAATAAAGTAACTCCATAAGATTTGCTTGGCGGCAAGAATAGAACAGGTCTAACGTAAACATCAACTTCATCAACAAACAGAGAAAGAAAGAGAAAAATAAGATAAGAATTTTGTTTAAAATACATATACAATAATTAAAGAGTTCAAGAGGGAATATGATTTATAAAACTAGTTGAAAGATTAAATTGACAAACAAAATCCAGGCTGCTTACACAATACATGATCATCGACAACAATCAAGACAGAGCTGTATCTTTACCATACTTTGCTGCTGAATTCCTCAAGGATGGTTGAACTTCTGTAGAGAGAGTTTCAATGATTCTCATAACAAATGAGAGCTCTTCTTCCTTGATGGTCTGATCTTCCTGTTCTCGCACCTTTATTCGCGGGTACACTTAAAGCACATAGTAGGAACAAGTCATTACAAATGATCCAAAAGACAAATAAAGATCTAAAACATGACACAAACTCTTTCTATTGACCTAACCAACACTTTAAACCCTAAAAAAGACATTATAAAGGCATTAATGCTAGTAACAAGCCTCTAACATGTGTATTCCTTTTAACTCCACATAAGCATATAATATATACGCACACACGAGAAGAAACTATAATGGATTTTCTGGCAAAAATTTCGACACTACCTAAACTAGCATCGATACCGTCCATAAAGCCATAAAATCTTACTCCATGTGCCAACTTTCCAGTTAATTTTTGCGTCGATGTTCCAAGTATCATCTTGACCGAGAAGATTATGATTTGTTCTAAAATGATGATAAATTAGAGAAAAAAATAACTAGATTTCTACGATCTTCTCATCAGATCATTACTATTACGTAGAAGAAATATCATAACATATACGAAACATGTATGATTCTGGATACTTCAAATTGCAAGAGAGATTCCACATACAAGGTAAGCGCCACTGTCACCTTCGAGCAGAGTATAATAGAAAGAACAGGATTTCCTTCGATCAAGAAATCTTGAAACCACAAAAACCGTTGATGTTAGATCATAGAGGCACACAAACATAACATCCCTCAGCACTTCCACGATCTATATATGCATCAAAAAACGAAATGCTTCCCAGGACTCCTCCGTGATCGACGAAATCCTCATCATCCGACATCTCGCTCGACTCGACAGAAAACACGGTCTCCAAACGGAAATTGAGACGATCTAACCATCAAATATGATGCAAGAAACGCGAGGGGAGATCAATCGAACTCACTATTCGAAGCGATTTGAGAAGCTCTTCTTCGCGACCTCCGTCTTCTCTCTCCGTTCCAAGGTCGATGATACATACACAAACTAAGCTTCCGAGGAAGGGGCGGTGAAAAGGCAAGCTGGAAGCAAGCGGGTTCCGTGGTGGCGTGACGAGTCAGACCGAAGAAACGAAGAGACGCGTGCAGAACACCAAAGCGGACCATCCGAATCGAATCAGAATCCAAATCCAATAGAGTGCGTCCGGCCCACCGTTTGATTTCTTTGCTTGCCTGCAAAGTGAGACAAGACCGGTTGCATGTTATTAACGTGATCTCCCTTTGGTGCTTTGTTTTCCTGTACGAAGGAAAGGTTATAAATAATTAGTTTATTTTATTTTTTTTTTAAATAATTTCTGTGGGAAAAAATAAAATATAAGAACAATAAAACTTTATTGAAGAAGCTTTATTGTGTCGCTCTCTTATTTATACATGTTAAGTTAGGAGGGAGGATTTTCCTCAACATATTAGAAGATTTCTCTCAACAGAATTGTAAGAAGATTTCCTCGTATAGCTTGAGAAAATCTTATCCGCTATCAATTTTATCTCTTTCAACTTATCTTATTTAGACTTTACCTAATCTAAATTTCATGATGAGACCATAATTATATAGTGCATGTGTATAGTGTATAGTCGGTGCGTTTGGAAACATATGAAACATGCATTAAGTCAGAAATCCATGTTTTAAATATGAATTAATATTTAATTTTTAAAATCATATTTACTTTAAATACTAATCCTATATCAAAGATAACATTAGTATTTTTAGCATTTACGAGATGGGAATATGATTTTTAAATTTTTTAAAGTTCCCTATTACATTATCTGGAATTACAAGATATAATAAGAAACAACAAGGTTTATATATTATATAAAGTTTTTTTCTTCTAAAAATTACATTTATTTATATGATTATATTTTTATTTGTTAAATATTAGGGCCATATGAAATTTTTTTATAAGATTTCAAACATGCATTTATTTTTTTATTTAAATATAAAAATATTTATTTATTTTTGAATAAATATTAAAAATATCGTACATCTACTCGAATATTTCTTTCTCTAACTGTGTACTAAAAATAAAAATATATTCCTAAATGCAATTAGTATATTATTGAGGAGAAACAATGATATGGTTTGATTATTGGCCGATATGCTATAAAATTATACATAGGTTGGAATTTTACCCGTTCAAAGAATGAAGCCTTCGTTATTGCCTTTGTAATTTGTAAAATTGCATTTGATTCGATTCGAATAGAATTATTATCGAGAAAAAGAAAAACAAATGATGTGAATACTTCACTTTTTTTTTAGGTGTGTCTTTACCTAGTGCCTTCATAGTATATGTTTTTTTTAAACATTATATGATGTACATCATGTTCACATATATTTAAATTTGAGATTTATTATTTATTTAATGATATATTCATTAACTTAGATGTCTTAACATAAACACTCCATATGTTAATTGTCAACATTTTATTATATATATATATATATATATTGTATTATATTATGTGATCATTTATAATTCGATAAGATATATGAATAATTAATTAGATTCTGATAAAAAATATTGATCGATAGAAAAGAAGTTCGGATTTCTTAAGAGTTACATTTGATAGGAGGAACTCTCGTAATAACTTATCATAGATCATCTACTCTCATCTATAAATAGACATGACCTATAAGACTAAACGATGACATATGTCATAGAGGACGCGGTTGAGAGATTACAGTTTCTCTCTCAACCTCCTTATAGATTCACAATAAGTTTTTAATATAAAGACGATGCTTAAATCATATATTTTTTAGATGACATCGAAAGAAAGTAAAAATCGATATGTTGTTATTTGATTTCAATCACATCTTTTTCATACTATGTATAATATATAATCGTTTTTATGCTTATATACCCAGCAAAAGTTAAAAAAAAAAAAGAAAAACTGCCATACGCCGTGAAGCGTTGGAAAATTCATCGCTTTACAACTTAGCTTCTTTCACATGAAATGAAATTGCAATCCTCAAATGCTACAAACAATGTGTTGGTTCCTGTGGCATCGAATGCATAAGAAAAGGCATTAGTCTCGCTTGCCGTCGATGGATCGATCGCAATCATTATGTCCCAACTTCACAAAATTATGATAACAAAGGTCGGAAACAATCCACTAAATCGTGGGTTTTCCGATGACGACTGAGAAAGAAATATATATATTTTTTGTTGCATCAATCGATCAAACACCAACATGTGATCTTAATTCTCAGATCAGTATCCTTACTTAAGTATTAATGTGATAGTATTCTTATGTCGGCATTTTGGCACTCTCTGGATCAGTATGACGCGTTCTGCATACAACATAATCAAAAAACACAATAATGTCTTCAAAATTCTAACGCGATGATCATTAGTCCCACTAGATTGATTGTCTGTAATGTTAGAATACGTTAGTTGTCATTCTCGTTGTGAACTCACTCTACCGCTATGATTGTTTGAACAATGTGATTTGAGTCAAAGCAAGAGATATCTCCGATGTTACTCGACGAACATATCTCTGATGCTATTGTTTTCGCCATTGTTTTAAGAAAAGAATTGACTAATATGGGTATTGTGAATGAATTAAGATTAAAACGGGAAAAGGCTCGTGATGTTTCACTGTTTCTCTAGTTACTTACCGAAGAAGCTTGCTGGGTCTAAAAGTTCTGCTAAAACTTAGAAAAAAATAAAGAAAAAGTCTTTGTTTTACAATAAAGTGTCAGTTTTACCAAATGTAAGACTTAATTCGAAAAATGAGATAGAACATTTGCTAACATTTTCCTAACTATATGAGGATTTTCCTCGATAGAATAGAGGATTTTCCTCGATAGAATAGAAAAATTTAGAAAAATCTTATCTATTATCATATATATTTTAAATTAAATATTATTAAAATTTATTTCAATATTTGATATATAGATTATGATGCTTTAACTCATATTACTAATAATATTTATTAAAAGTCAAAAGAGTATGAAAGATATATTATTAAAAGGAATTATCTCAAAGCAAAAATACTGATTGCATCTCATGAATCACTTATGGATCTTAAAGATGCCTTTTATATTTCTTTAATTTTTAAAAAATAGTTTTTATTTCTAAATTGGAATGCAACATAGTTATATTAATAAAAAAAAAATTCATCATGTGACATATACATTTATGATATATCTTTAAAAAAAATGATTGAGATATTTTTGATGTGTATAAATTGTATTAAAGAAAAATAAACCAAACACATCAAGAAAAATACCACAATAAGTTAAAAACTTATTGAGATTATATATATATATATATATATATATATATATATATATATATATATATATATATATATTGACATACTTAGGTGTAGATACGCGAAGTTAAGAGATAATTAAATAAAAGATCAAAATAATGTGATTAGATAATGATGGTGAATTATATGATAAATATGATAAATCATGTTAGAATCCCTGTTTGCTAAATACTTAAAAAGGCAGGAAATTTATACTCAATATTCAGAGTGTCACGTAGAATTGTATTACCGAATGGTGCAATCATATCTTTATTTGAAATATGATGAATTTTTCATCTGAACATGACTCCATGTAGAATAAAGTTCTAAAAATTACTACGTATACTAAGTTGTAAACTAGTAGGAAACTCATATTTATATATTTGGGGTTGTATAAGAGTTTTTAGTTCATATGAAAATAAGTTAAATCAAATAACTATTTATGAATATTTTATTAGTTAATAAAAAAATCTAAGAGGTACTGACTTTATTGTCGTAACCAAGATATAATAATAGTTGAGTTTGATGGTATAAGATTCTTATATAATGATCAAACAAATAAGAATGAAAAAGAAGTTATTATTCCTTAAATTATTAAGTAAATTGATGAAAAAAAATAATACGATCAAAATATCATCCTTTATGAACTCGTACAACAATCACAATCAATCATTTTATAATATCTTAAGAAGACAAGAAACATACCATTTGTAATGATTATATGATATATTAAAAAATAAGATTATAATATAAGAATTAAAAAGGATCGTTTAACGTTTTTACAAATAGTAATGATTCTAAAAATGAAATGATATAATAAAAAAAGAGATAAAATCAATATACCATAATAGTATTTGAGAACTCATCAAATTATTCAATAATTATAAATAAAACATTTAAATATGTCTTTAAGACTAAACTTGACTCAAAAGGTAATATCAAATGATATAAAGTCTTATATCCAAAATATTTGCTTAGTAAAAATATTTTGATTATAACAATTATATTTTTTAATTTTTAAAAAATATATTAAGAATTATTATTGTTTTACTAGTCATTATGATCTTGAATTACATTAGATGAACATGAAATAGTTTTTTATATGAAATATATATATCTAAAGATCGGTGGGAAGTAAGTTTATTATTTTGATCCTATATGTTGATGATACATTATTTACTAATAATGATGTTGGTTTATTACACGAAACAAAATTATTATTTTTTTAATTGTTGATAAAATAAGATAACTTATATTATTAGCATAAAGATCATTAAAGGTCGACTTCAATGATTACTAGAACTATCTCATAAAGAATATATTGATTGAGTATTGAAAAGATTCAATATGTAATTTTGTTCGACAAATGATACACCTATGATTAAAGATAAAATTTTTAGTTTAAATCAGTGTCCTAAAAATGACTTGAAAAGAAATCAGATTAAATATATTTTGTATGCATGTGCAATTGAAAATCTATTATATGTTCAAATCTACAATGGACTAAATATTAATTTTATAATTAAAATGCTATATAAACGTGAAAGTAACATAGGAATGAAGAATTGAAAAACTACAAATAAAATAATATGATATCCGAAAATGATAAATGAT